ATTTTTTGATTTATTGTAGAGATGAGGTCTCGCTGCCCAGGCGGGTCTCGAACCCGCGGGCTCAGGCGATTCACTCACCTCAGCCTCCCAAAGGTGCGGGATTACAAGCTGAGCCACCGAGCCCGGCGGCACAAAGTTTATCTCTTCTAAGAAGCTGTCCGGGCTCCCCTGTGTGGCTATTGGTCCTCACAGCTCCTGGTTGAGGCCTTCTATGTCTAACTTAAATATCAGGAATCTGTTCCGCCATCTGTCTGCGTTAGTCTGTAATCTCCTACAGATCAGAGACCGTCTCTTATTCCTCTCTATATTCCTACCGCTCTGCATGGATGAACATCGCCAGGAAACATGGAAGGAAGGAGGGAGGAGGAAAGAGGGAAAAGGAGACATGCATTCTGGTCCAAGGCACTGGCAGCTGTGCCCAGTGACCTGGCCTCCTGGTATTTATCTGCCACACACAACCTGGCACCGCCCAGCTCAAGCCCTCAGTTTCTCCCCTACTCTGGGCAGGGAGGACACAGGCTCCCATTAGCTGCCTCCTGTTGCTAGTGTTGCCAGCACCTCATTAACCCAGAGGGCCCCCGCCCCTGCCCTGAGAGGTATGGGCTGGGCAGAGCTCCAGGCTCAAATGAGTCTCCCTCGCCTTCCTGCCCAGAGAGCCTGTGAAACCCCAGAAAGTTGCCCTCAGGCTGCTATGGGCCAGGAGCGTTTGATCCTTGGAGCTCTGACCCTGACAGACAGATACCTTCTCATCAGCTATGCAGTCGGGCTGGGGGCCTGGAAAGGAGTATCTGCAACCTAGGAGAAACTGAGGCTTGGAGGAGAAATAAGGCTCAAGCTAGAGAAATAAGGAAAATCTGGGGCAACCAGGAAGAATGACAAGTAACCAGGTGACCATCAGCCCCGCCCAGGAGAGGCCAAGGCTCCAACCGCCCAACTCTCTCAACCTCACTCAGCTCCTTGAGCTCGGCCTCTCTCGGCTTACCACGGGGGTCTGTCCTTTACAGCACAGAAGGAGCTGTGCAATCCGAGGCTGTGAAAGTGGCCATCAGACAAGACCAGAGCAAAACCCACAGACACGGGAGTTCCAGCCCACACACCGGAGTGCAGCCACACCTCCGGCTTCTAGACTCCGACTTTCCCTGGGAACCTCTCCTCCCAGGGAGGCTGAAGACAGGCCCTGGGGCAGCCGTGGGTGGAGACTGAACCTCAGCCTGGAGGGAAGGGAAAGGGTTAACGCTCCCCAGGTCCGCTGGGCCAGTCTAGCCAGTTCACCCCAGAGCGCTGTAAGTCCAGGCTTGTCTTTGGTTCTGTCTTCATTTCCACGTCTCTCTCACTCTCCTTCCATCTCCTTCTGGGAGACGCTGGGAAGGGAAGCTCAGAGCTCGTGGCCCCAGCTGTGTCTGCGATGTCCTTTAACCCTGCTTGTAATCATCACCTTCCTGTCCATCCACTGTCTTTCCCTCATGGCTGCTCTCGTCATCCCCAGATCTCTCTGTCTGTCTCTCCCTGTCTGGCTCTCACAGCACGTGCATGCGCGCGCGCGCACACACACACACACACACACACACACACACACAGACACACACACACACAGACACACACACACACACACACACACTGTGAATGGGAAGAAGGACGGTCTAGGAACAAGGCAATCCCTGGTTTCTTGCCACGGCAGCTCCTCCCTCTCCTGATGTCTGCTCCCACCATCAGGAGCAGAGGGCAGCTGATTCAGGGAGGTACAGAGGATGCGTCTGAACCAACAGAGCGGTCACACCACAGCAGGCTCAGAAAAGGAGCCCAGGGGGCAAACGTGAGGATGGGGACAGGCAATGCAAAATCAGAAACCGCCCAACGGCGGAGACTCCTCTCCCAAACCCATCAGAGTCCGCATGAGGACGAGGAAACGCGGATCATGTGTGCGTTTAATGTGCTACACGGGGGAGGAGAGTGGAGACCCCTTTTCCTGGTAATCCAAGGGGATTCTGCTTCTGGACGTGTTTTGCCAACTTCAGGACGCCTGGCAGATCTGTATCAGCCATGGCAGGAGGCAGACGGCAGGGCAGGGTGGAAGGGTGGGGGCCTCAGACCTGCCCCTGCCGCTGCAGGGTCTGGGACATCAGGGTTGTGAGATTATGACCACACATGCATGGGACACACCTGACTTCAAACAGCCAGCTCTCTGTCAGCTCGCCATAATCCCCTGGAGGCCAGGTCCGGCCTCCTATGACGGAGATCTGAAACTGGCCCTTTCGTGACATGCCCAGCAAGAGCCCTTGCTTCCGAGACCACGCTAGGGGCCGGGGGCCCTTGTGAAGCCCCGAGTGGCCCCTGTGCTGATGACGCGGGAGGGTGCCCCCACCTGCCATCGCAGCCTCAGGTCAGGGGAAGGGCGGGGTCCGGCTTCAGCTGGCCCCTGCCCGTCCCTGGGGCAAAGTCCAGAGACAGCCTCGCCGGCTGCCTGGACAGGCCAGCGGGGCCTGCTAAGAGATAAGGGCCACACCTTGGACTCCGCGCCGCAGAGCAGCGCCCCCCGGCCCCACGCCGCTCCCGGGCGGGCAGCTGCCCGTGGGCTTGACGGTCCAAGCAGAGGCGCGCGGGGGCGGTGCCTCCGGGCTCCTGGAAGGGGA